ATACTGAACCCTACTTGTGGTACTGAACCCTACTTGTGATACTGAACCCTACTTGTGGTATTGAACCCTACTTGTGGTATTGAACCCTACTTGCTGGATCACATACCTGTATGTATTATGTGACAGGTGACATTAACATCGACTTAGTGTTAAAACCGCCAACTCATTAACAACTTTTGCATCACACAGGTGTTAGCGAGAGTCAAATGTTTTGTCTGCCTCGGTACTAATTAACCCAACATATCGTGGATTACCTTAACATAGTCAACCTAACCTAACCTAACATCTGTGCAAACTCACTTTAGATCAAGGTTAAGGTTTTCACAATAATAAGAGAATCTGGTGACTTCTTTATGTACCTGTCTGGTCACCTGCGCGACTTATCTAAAGACATAACTCTTGAAATTTAGTTTAGTGTTTCTCCTCGTCCTCCTCTATAGGTGATAAATCCCTTCCCCCAATAAAGAGAATTTAAATAAAGGGAAATCACGGGGATTTTTATCATTGCATTTCAATCTGCCTCTATTATGACAGACGAAAATCCACATCATTGTAGGATTTTCCTGAGGATAATGCATTATGATGTTTATTAGCTCACCGTCTTCACAGGATTTAATCAAGAGCAAGAACGAGGATTTTAACTATTTTTCTAATCTCTCTCTACCTCCATAATTGTGCATGGTAAATCCCAACCTCCTAACTCTTTAATTATCTGGGATTTAATTATTATATACAAACTTTACTAGTGCTATTATGTATGTTATTAATCTCTACCAACTTAGGATTTAATTAAGAGATATAACTCAGTGAATTTGAGGATATTAATTTTACATAAGTATGCACGTAAATCCTCCCCCCCCCCCGCTCCTCCTCCCTCCCTCCTCCCCCCTCTCCCTCTCCCCCCACTCCTCCCTCTCCCCCCCTCCCTCCTCTCCCCCCCCTCGCCCCCCCTCCCTCCTCCCCCCTCCTCCCTCTCCCCCCCTCCTCCTCTCCCCCCCGCTCCCTCCCTCTCCCCCCCTGCTCCCCCACTCCCTCCCTCTCCCCCCACTCCCTCATCTCCCCCCCGCTCCCTCCATCTCCCCCCGCTCCCTCCCTCTCCCCCCCACTCCCTCCCTCTCCCCATATATAAATTATCTGAAGGGATTTTCACAGTAATTAACCCTTTTTCTTCACTCTCCTCCCTCACCCCCCCCTCCCTCACTCCAGTCTCTCTCACCCTCCCTCCCTATCCCTATTCCTCCCTCCTTTTCTCCCTCACTCCCTCACTTCATCACCATCTCTCCCTATCCCTGTCCGTCCTTTCCTGTCCTCTTTCCCTATCCCTATTCCTCCCTCCTTTTCTCCCTCACTCCCTCACTTCATCACCATCTCTCCCTATCCCTGTCCGTCCTTTCCTGCCTCTTTCCCTCTCCCTCCCTCCCTCCCTCCCTCTTCAGTCAAGGATACTCAGGGAGAAATTAAGAAAATATTGGGAGTTAGAACTTTAATTATTGACCACAGGTTCACCTTAATCTAGATTCCGGTGTGACTCTAGTGTGTCGCTGCTGCCTTGACGACCTGGTGAAAAAGTAGTCGCGTTAGATCATGTATAGGGACGTTAGGTACATTATAGGTTAGGTTAGGTTAGGTTAGGTTAGGTTAGGTTAGGTTAGGTTAGGTTAGGATGTTTAAATAAGCTGCGAGAAACTAACCTTCAGGTAATTTTCATTAGCTTCACTTAACCTACAGTATATCTCAGTCTCTTTCTGTACATAAATCTTTCTGAATCCGTAAGTGTAAGAAAAACGATATTGCGTTCGATATCATTGAATCCGGATTATCCTAAGGTCCCTCGCGAATTATTATTATTTTTTTTTAAGATCTGTGATGAGAGAAGCTATCTCCAGTCACAGGAAGATTTTTCATCCATTTACACAGAAGATGGCTTTGAAGAACGTACAGTACATATGAATTAAGGAACTCTCTTTCTACCTCTCTGTCCCGCCCCTTGCTTCTCTCTCTCTCTCTCTCCCTCTCTCTCTCTCTTGCTATTTATCCACTCATATCTAATGCAGTGAACGCAATCTTCACGTGTACAATCATAAACAAGTTTGTTTTTTCTTCTGGACATGAATCAACAGTATAAAGCACAACTATCTCTAACGTGGTACTGATTTTTTTGTGCTTTAAGAAAAATAACTCGTAATTACCACCTTTATAGGTTAAACACGGTCATTAGCACGAGAGAGAGAGGCGAGGGGAGAAATAGAGGCAGAGGTAGACAGACAGACAGACAGACAGAGACAATGTACCGAGTTAACTGCCAATTGTTGACATGTTTTTCCAAGACTTAAAAAAACTTCGGAAACACAGGCTGCTTCCAACACTTCTCAGGACTTCTCATGAACCGTGGACCAACTCACCATTGATACTAAAGCTAACGTTGTTTATAAAGGAAGACAGAATTTGTAGTAATATATAAAGTATTGTAGAAATTTTCAGGGCACCAGAGCAGCTATTGAGATGATAAGTGGTGAAATGATACGAATAATTATGAAATGTAGTCTCAGGTCTCCAGTTAATAATAGTTGAGAATGGGAAAATTAGATGAAACTTTGAGGTTCCTAATACATTGAATTATAGATATTTAAGTTATTTATTTAATATACGGTAACATTGGATGATCTAATAAGTAACTATACTGAAATACGAAGTCTGTCTAATAATTACTTTACGCCATGGAAATAAGAAAAATATTTTAGTTACTCCGCTACAATCAGTCTTCTTTAAAACTGTTATATAGAAAATGTATCGTCGTGTAAGGTTTGAGGGATAACTGTAAAATAATTTTTGGCTTTTTTTTTTTTTAGCTTAGCCTCTACTACTCAACATTCATTTGTCTGACATAAAATTATACCTTCATTACAGTATATTACCACCCATTAGATATATTAATGATGAAATGTTAAGAGTTTTATTTAGGTTTGATGTTTGGTCACTTTTATTGGGATTAATAAGCAGATAGGATAGTACAGTATGAGAGATATAATAGTAATTTTCCCTTCGTCGTAACTGGAGACTTTGATTCTTAATTTATTGCATTTAATTTTACTACTCATCAGCTTACTGGCTGTTCTGGTGGTTGATCAGTTTTCCTTGTTACTTTGTTATGACTTTCATTATCTAGTGTTAGTACAGGGGAAAACTGTAGTCCCTGAAGAAAACCTGTCGTGTGTGGCGGCGTTACACTGAATAAACACTTTTCTCACGTGTGGTCCTAACCTGATCTAACCTAACCTGACCTAACGTAACCTGATCTAACGTAACCTGACCTAACGTAACCTGACCTAACCTAACCTGACCTAACGTAACCTGATCTAACGTAACCTGACCTAACGTAACCTGACCTAACCTAACCTGACCTAACGTAACCTGACCTAACCTAACCTGACCTAACGTAACCTGACCTAACTTTTTATTTCAAGGGACAATCTCAGTACGCCTCAAACCTTCGATGATGTTTTGATCGAATTGCACATGTCAGACAGTTTTCAACACGATACACTTTTACTATTACTTTTATCCTCTTCGCTATTGATAGGCTCGTTAGTTACTAGGGTTAGACAATAATGAGAATTAAAAGCGTTTTCTCTGAAATAAATGTTTGTCTTCACGCAGTTTGAGAGTAACTTAAGAATTCTTTGCCTCTGACGTATCCTCTTTACCACTGATCGGCTCGTTAGCCGCTTGGGCGATCGGTCACGTCTCTGTTACGCACTGTTGTTAAGTACTGGGCATGCACTGGCTCCTGAATGTACCTGAACCTGCTCCAGTGTTGGTCCAGTCTGGTCTTGAAACAGCTCACACTCGGTGCCGTCACAACACTCTTTGGCAGATTGTTCCAAGAGTTCACAACTCTCACTTTGAAAAAGTTTGCCCTCGCAGTTTTCTGAACTTGTGACTTCATCAACTTTGAACTGTGACCCCTTGTGGGAAGAGCGTCCGCCAGCTCCAGATATGAACACTCGACTGAGCAGTGTCCTCTGGTGTGTTTATAAACTTCTAAGTCCCCCTTGCCCGCCTTTAGTAAAAGCTAGGCAGTAGCAGGCGTTCTAATCTCTCTGGGTAACTGAGGTGCCGTAGTGCAAGCACCAGTCTGGTAGACCCTCCTTTGGACATCTTCGATCAACTGACAGTCCCTAGCATATCTTGGGGACCAGACGGGGTGACAATACTCAAGACGGGAAACACCTCACTCTTGATAATTAAACGACCTTCTTATAAGACCTACCAGCTTAGACGCTTGATTCCCCTTCTTCTCACAATGGCTCAAGAACTCGTTGTCACCCTACACACCCAGGAACAAGTAAAATGTGAACATGTAAGTTTACTTGTTTGTCAAGAGGCTGTAGGTAGATTTACCTGGATATAACATTATGCCAATTCTGAAATCTTATATTCAAACTCACTCAAATATAATTTACCGAATACTCTTCAAAACTCACTTTTATTTTCAGTATAAATTGGATGTGACAAAAAGTTGCCATAAGTTCAGAAAACTGTGAGGGTAAACTGTTTGGAGTGAGAGTTGTTAACTGTTGGAACAATTTGCCAGAGACTTGACCAACACTGACGCAGGTTCAGATCCATTCAGGAGCCGGGACATGCACAGTACTTGCCAACAGTGCGCAACAGAGACGTGACCGACCGCTCAAACGGCTAACGAGCTGATCAGTGGTGAAGAGGATAAAAGTAAAGTTATTATTATTGTTGTTGTTGTTGTTGTTGTTGTTGTTGTTCACACTCCTTCAGTTTTACCTAAGTGTTTGGACAGAGGAGTATAACCACAGTGGATTGTGTTGGGCTGTAAGAGGCGAGACGGTTCATGGAATCTGTTTTTATGTATGGTGGCATAAAAAAACCTTACGAATAAAAACTTAACGACTTGCTCCGCTTGGGGAAAAAAAATATATAGAGAAGTTTCCAAACGTAATACTGTACCACACAGCCAGTCTCCCTACAGCTGCCTCCGGAACAACACAAGGAACAAGGAGCTCCTCATAGTGTACGTAGCAACACTGTCATCATCTCTAGGTCCGTCATATTCCTTAGTGATGACTGTATAGATCTGGTGCTGTCATGTGTTTTGGTGATAACTGTTTTGAAATTTGTAGATGATGTGTATGTTGACGCCTTTATAATATTTTAATCTGTAAGTGAACATCGTCATTACTAACCAAACTAACATTACGTTTTATACAGCAAGTGATGTTTTCTGTCAAATAGGGATGACTTTGGTTAGGTTAGGTTAGGTTGTATACGAAACTACTCATTTACATGTATTATAATTATCTACATGGCCAGGCAGAAGGTTTCCAAAATAAAGAAAGACCACAGAAGTTATCGATATTCGACAGAAACTAATAATATTTCCTCAATATCTTAGAAGACTAAACTCACTTGAATATATCAGAGCAGATCATGATGATAAACTACAACTGATCGTAATAAAATTTCTTTAGCAAACTGGAGGAGAAAAAAATGCAGGTAAAAATCTTTGATCGTCACAAGCCGCTGAGCACCTCTCAGGTATAAACACCTAATAACAAGTTATGTAAAACTAAGATAATATTCCTCTCACATATCACACATTACTTATCATACACTTATTAATTCACAAAGATTTCCCACATCCATTACACCTACACTGTAACATTTAAAGTCCCCAGCTTGTCTTTGTCGTTCGCCTTCTTAGTTGAAGAGGATTTTCACAGCCTGGGAGGATGGTGGCAGTCGACTCGGAAGCGTCCCTACAGTCTTTGGACCCACTCGTTGATGACTTCGCCCACACCACCACCCACTCCACCCACACCACCGCCCACATCACCCGCCACACCACCGCCCACATCACCACCTACACCACCGGGCCCGACACTCTCATGAACCCTGCTATGGTGTTGTTTTCACTGGCTATCAACTTTGTGTGTCTGGTAAGTTCATGACTCAGTGGTCCGGGTGCCTTTATTAAGTACCGTGACGCTCTCCCCTCACCTTCCTTCCCCAGTGTGTGTCTTTTGTAACAGTGACTTAAGTTAGGGCATCAGCCTGACACCCTAAAATAGACTCACATAACATTAAGACTCTACCTTAACTTGATCTTCCAACTTATCTTTATCCAGAAGGTGAAATTTAACACCTAGAAGCTTTGTGGATCTATTTCCTTGGTCATTATTGTTTGGATTACTGATTATAGAAGTTATTAAGGGATATACGGCTTTAATTATCTGTTCCTGTGTTATTTGTGTTGTCATTTCAGGTGCTCATGTACCGTCTCTGTAATGTTCACAAAGGTGTCAGAAAGGAGGAACAGCGTAACACAGCAGTCAACAGTGCTCGGGGTCAGGCTGGGCCCCGGGAAATACCAGCACGACCTGGGGAGTGGGTGAGACCATTGAATAACATGGAGTGGTTGTTCTGGGTGGCCGCACTGCTAGACACAGGTAACACGGCTCAGGTACTGTGGCTGTCCTCGTCACGACCCATCCCACCTGAAGACGTCAAGGAGGCTCTCTCTGTCGTCGCTCAGTAAGTAAAGAGGATCACGTGATCTGTGAGTGACGACATACACAATAGTCAAGATGCACTTGAAATATTCACTAAAATTTTGTACATCAGACATACACTTTCCACTTACTGTATGAAACATTGATGATGATCGTGTAGTCTAATGATGTGGTACCTGGCAGGAAGCTTCACGCGCTGCAGCTGTGTGTGGTGTGGCGGTGGTGTCGTCCGTGGTTCAGACTGAGGAAGAATGTTACTGTTGACTTCGACGTTGTTGACACTGATGACGTCATGACCGTGTGCTACCAGCAGATGCGAGCTTCGTACAACCTGCCTCGAGGACCACTGTGGAGGGCGAGAATTGTGCCTCAGCCGCAGCCAGCACCTGACCGCTACGAGGCCGTTCTGGTGCTCACTCTCCATCACGTCATCACGGATGGGCTCACCAACATGGTCCTCTCTCGGGACGTTCTGGAGGTGCTCAACGCCATCATGAGCGGCAGGAGCCACAACACGCCAGTACGTCGCGTCATCCCCAACATCTATAAGGAGCTGGCCGGTCCTTATCACTATCTCAACTGCTTCAGGTTGATCCTCTTCGCAGCTTACCGAGTGTTAGTCAATATCGTCAGCGAGAAGAACTTTAATGTTATTTTTACTCATCCAAGAACAAAGTTAGCCGTGACAAAGATTCATCGTGAAGACTTCCCGGCAGAAACAACACGACAGTTGTTACGTCAGTGTAAGGAAAATAAGGCAAGCGTTCACTCGTGTGTCATGGCCGCCGCCTCACTCGCTCTATTCCGTATCGCCCAGAAACAATCACAAGAAAACCTTGACTCACTGAAGCTAGTGACCGACACCCCAGTAAACTTACGTCGTTATTACGGCAGCGAGTATGCGGAGTCTCTAGGTTCTGTCTCCTCCTTGGTGAAGCAAGTCCACCTCCTTAGCGACGCCCACACCAAGGAAAATTTCTGGGCGTTAGCGAGACGTATGTACGCAGACCTCCACCACGCCCTTGACGTTGACAAAACTCCCATCTCGAGCTCTCTGATCGCCTGGACAATGGCGGCTTTACAACCCATCAATTACCTTCTCACTCATATGGGATACAGAAACCTAATCCACGACCACTTGATGATCACCAACATGGGCAACCTGCGCCACCTCCTGCCTGGCAAGTATGACGGCCCCGTAGAGATCACCAGCTTACTGCGCTCCACAGCCTCCGAGCTGGTAGGCTGCCCCTTACTGCTCGTCCTCCAGACTTTTGAAGGTAGACTGTTGTTGTCCCTCGACTACTACACCAACAACAGCACAGAGGAGGTCGCCTGGACATTTTTCTCATACCTCACACAATACATTAAAGATATAGCTCACAATGGCACCATCACTGGAACACCTGTAGCAACACCTGTAAGTCCGCTAACACCACCTGCATCACCTGTAATAACACTTGTAGCAACACCTGTGACACCTGATCAGGATAAAATAGATGATGCTAAAAATAAGGAGGTAAATATATAATACCCAAGACACATACACACACACACACACACACACACACACACACACACACACACATACACTCTATGGTGCGACAGTCACTAAATACGACGAGTAAGTGGAAGATTTTCTTACTATCATCAATCTTCATCATTAAAACAATCAGGTGTTATCATCTTTACAGTGTTAGAGTAAGTAGTGTAATAAAGTACATATAATTATAATGTTTTGTTTCTTATTTTCTTTGGAGTGTTTCCTTCAATACAGACTAACAGCAATTCCATCGTCAACACACCTGTAAACTCACAACAACATCGTCCACACACCTGTAAACTCACAACAACATCGTCCACACACTTGTAAACTCACAACAACATCGTCCACACACCTGTACACTCACAACAACATCGTCCACACAACTGTAAACTCACAACAACATCGTCCACACACCTGTAAACTCACAACAACATCGTCCACACACCTGTAAACTCACAACAACATCGTCCACACACCTGTAAACTCACAACAACATCGTCCACACACCTGTAAACAACCTGACAAATAAAGATAATTAACAGAAAATGGGATGGTTCGTTAATATCAGCAAGGCAATAAATACCTGAATTCTGATTGGTTACCATGACATTAGTTCGTCAGTAACGCTCGCCTATCGGAGAAGAGGGGAAGGAGGAGGAGGAGGAGAGGAGGAGGTGAAGGAAGAGGTACAGAAGGTTTAGGAGGAGGAGGAGAAGGAGGAGGAAGAAGGGAAAGGGGAGGTGCAAGTATGGGGAGGGATTACCTTATGCTAGAGGGACAAAGGTGTGGCACAACAGGTAATATAAGACAGGTGTGCCAGTGAGGTTAATCATCTTAGTATGTCAAGGGAAGCAGAGTCGGTGAGGCTTGTCCGAGTCAACTGTGATCACCTGAAGTTGCGTGTCCAGGAGGTGAGAAGGTGCACAAATTGTCGATGCGATACCTGGGTTGTGTTTTACGAATAGTTTGACGTCCTACTCACACACACACACACACACACACACACACACGCACACACACACACACAAACACACTATCCCCGACACCGGCTCCTACTACCACCTGAGATCCAGTCCGAGAATTGCTGTTCGACACCACAACCGCATCCAGCCCATACGTGCACGAACTGATCGCTATAAGAACAGCCCAGTCCCAACCATTGTAAAAATTATCAATAACTTGTAATAAATCAGTGTATTCACTCCCAGTAAATACTACTCCTTGCACTGTCACTATGTTGAAATGAACTGTAGTTTGAGCTTTTCCCCATCTAGTTATTATATGTCTTATTTGTGTCACTTATGTTACTTTTATATTATTTGTAATTCGTAACCCATTCCCCAAATATGTAACTGTATATTTTCAGCCTTCTGGCTGCCAAGCTCTTTCAATAAACTGTTAATTATTATTATTATTATTATTATTACACACACACACACACACGCACACACGCACACACACACACGCACACATTAGCGATTAGCATAAAGGGAAATTTCTGTTTCTAAGAATACCAACAGACGTCTGAATTAAAGAGAAATGTTTGTCCTTTTAGTAAAACTGCTCACTCACACTCCTTCCTCCACCAAGACAATGCAACAAAAAAAAAAACCTCCATGAATCTACTTACTAATGCCTTCAGCCTGCGTCCCTCACCCCTGCCAACACTTATAGATCCGGGTTATTCCAGGCTCGTGGATTTAGCAAGACTTCATCCATTACCTGAAGTCGAATGTAGGATGGCTGGGTCACGGACGTTCGGTTTGAGCCAGGGTGATTAGGACCTAACCTAACCTAACCGTGGCCCCAAACGTCTGCTCACCCTTGAAGTCTGACGAACATATCTGCTTGTCTCTCTACGAAATATTACCACCTCTCTTTGGACCTTGTGATGTAGCCTAAGTGAGTTATTTCTTATAATATATCAAATTACGAACCATTGAAACTCCATACACTGTCACTTGAGGCAGCAGTATACACACACAATACAACTCACACCTATAAAGGAACCTTAATGATAAAGACTATTATTTTGTTTTGTTTTTAATTCATGCTTATGTTATTGATAAAGTGTTGAGATATTTACACCTAAAACTTTTGTACGTGAACCGGATATATATATGTTTAGATGTCTTTACCTGTAATTATCGCCTTTGTACCTGTTGTGTATGTGTTTTTTTTTTTAGTTTCCTGTGACTTATAACAAATATATAAAACTTTAAACTGGTGGTAAATACAGTGACTTTAACCAGCAGTGAATAAAGGACAAAGCCATGAAGTTATTTCACAATATTCTTTTTCTGTGAACCAGAAATTTCAACACAATGTACAGAGGATTTTTTTTCAGCTTTTAGTTAAGTTTAGGGTTTTTCTTCGTTTTCTTTTGTGGTTTTTTTTATGGGAGTGACTGCAACAGTTTCGAAATGTATGTTTTTGGTGTAAATCTTTGTTTCCTAAAAATTTGGATTATCATAGGAGGAAAGTGTATCAATGTTATAGATAAGATGTGTATATTTAGAGGATAAGTGTAATGCATAAGCTCTAAATAGATTCTGTAGTAAATTAGATGCATCTGTAAACTCACAATCAAGATATTATTATTATTATTATTATTATTATTATTATTATTATTATTATTATTATTATTATTATTATAAACTATGTGTATGTCCGGTAACTGTGTGGTTCGCCTTCTGGGTCTGGCCATCGTGGAAAAACTGATCAGCAGAAAAATCTTGGAAGGTTGCAAGCAGGAGACTCACTAAGGTAAACAAACGTGGCCCCTTCAACCAGCCAGGGGTAACGTGTGTTGGTCTAGTGCTTGTGTGTCTTGGTACCTCGCCTTCCCTGCCCTCTCCATCTTCTCTCCTTCTTTCTTCTCTTCTTCCTTGCCTCCTCTCTCTCCCTCCCTTCATGTTCCTCTTCCTTGCTTCCCTCTTTCCTTCTCTAGCGCCCTCCTTCCTTCTTTCCTTCTCTAGCGCCCTCCTGCCTGTCTTCTCTCCTTCTTTGCCTCCTCTCCTTCTCCTTCCTTCCTTCCTTCCTGTCCCTGTAGCCTGCCTTCCTCCTTCTTTCCTTCCCCCTCAAATTCCCTTCTGCTCTGCCCCCCCTTCCTCTACTCCTTCCTTCCTGCCTTACCTACCTGCCTCTCTCCCTCCTTCTTTCCTTCCACCTTTAACACCCTCCTACCCTGCCTCTTTCTCCCCCACCTCTCCTCTCCTCCTCTTATCTCCCTCTCCTCTCCCATCATCCCTTACTCTCCCTTGCCTTCCATCAACACGGCTAAGAACTGGTGTGAAGAATGAACAAATATACTCCAAGAACGTAGACTCATCGAGCGAGGTTACCTACATATGAGACCAAATGTTTTTATAAATATTTCCACGACAAGAAAATGGTTTTACTCTTTTCTTATAAAATTTCAATTATCACGATTCATTTCTTTTGGGTGTTTTTTTTTATCCAGTTTCTTTTCCTTTGTTTTTCTTTCTATTTCGCCATCACTGAGGAAGACTGAGGAGGAGGAGGAGGTATGGTGGAGGTGTTAGTGAAGCAGGAACAATGAGGAGGAGGAGGAGGAGGAGAAAGAGGTAGAGGAGGAGAAGGAGGAAGAGTAGAAATAGGAAGAGGAGAAGGAGGAGGAGGAGGAGGAGGAGGAGGAGGAGGTCTCATGGAGGTATTGGTGAGGCCAGAACACTCAAGGTCAAGGTCAACCTCAGCCCACTAGAGGCCCTCAGAGGTGAATGTCAACAGACCTACTCACTGCTCCAGCCAATGAATCTAGCGCCCATGTTATAGAGTCCTAAGACGAGGCGAATTAAACCTTATAAGAAACTGGGTTAAACAAGAGATAAGAAAGGGCAGAGATAGATAGATAAATAGATAGATAAATAGATAGATAGATAGATAGATAGATAGATCTTTATTGAGTAACACCCTCACAAGTATACATTTATTCAGGGATGTATACAGACCACCATGTATACAGACCACCATGTATACACCGACCTTACCTGATTCATAATTAAAGGTGTTCTCGGAGGCAGGCAGGTGTGTTCTCTGTGTTGATAAAGTCAATACTCGCTGCCACTAACACAAGGTCTGGATGGTGCTGACCTCTGTGTTCACGTGACCACACCATGGGTCATTGTCTGTCTGTGTGTTGGTTTATATACACACAAACATATATGGACAGACAGGCAGACAGACAGATAGACAGACAGGGCCTTAAGGGAAAGTGAGCCCCGGTTCACTGAGGCATGGGTTTGAGGTGAGGGACTTAAGGTAATGGAACTTTTGTGTCCGGCAGAGAGAGAGAGAGAGAGAGAGAGATTTACGAACGAACGAATTTACACACACACACACACTCACACACACACACACACACACACACACACACACACACACACACACACACACACACACACACACACACACACACACTCCATTTTGGTCATAGCAGTGATAACGAAAAAAAAATGTTAAAGTAACCCAAGACTCTTATGTTAGGTCTGGTTAAAATTTGATCTGGTTAAGTTAGGTCCGGTCTAAGTTAACTCTGGTTTAAGTTAGGTTTAGTTTTAAGTTAAGTTTGGTTAAGTTAGGGCTGGTTTAACTTAGGTTTAGTTTAACTTAGGTTTGGTTTAAGTTAAGTTTGGTTAAGTTAGGTCTGGTTTAACTTAGGTTTAGTTTAAGTTAGGTTTGGTTAAGTTAGGTCTGGTTTAACTTAGGTTTAGTTTAAGTTAGGTTTGGTTAAGTTAAAATTTGGTAGACAATGAGCTACGATAATCTTCATAGCTCTGACACTACACACACGGGGGCCGGTTTCTGTAAGGTTTCTACCACACAGTGAGGATTTCAGCCAAGAGTAGAGGTGGAGTTACTGTCTGAAGAATACACACACTTCCTGACCTGAAACCTAACCTAGCATAATTTCACCTACCCTAACCTAACCTACCTTCACCTAACCCAATCTAACCTAACTAAATAATAACCTCGCCTTCACCTCACCTAACTTGTCTGAGCTGACACTTAATCTTACCCAAATGTAATGTAACCTAACCTAACCTAACCTAACCTAACCTAACCTAACCAAACGTAACAAAAACTTTTATCACCAAAGAAAAACAAGAAAAAAAAATCGAGTTCAATTATAGTTACGGAACCAAACATTACATACACTCGCGTTAACATTCAAGGATATGTTATCCGTATCTAACCACCAATTGACTCACACACATTCAGATTTCTTCACACGATATATTCCAGATGAAAATTCCACATCCTTTGTCAAACTTACCCGAGCGATATTTTGTGACTTGCATCTCTAGGGACGTAATGGTAGAAGTAGTTTCCCGTTACACAGTAGGATATCCCGTGCAGGGTCTTATCTGAAGGACAGGAGGAAATTTGTCACGGCTGGGGGAGGTATTTGATGTGTTTCACGGGGATTTGATAAGTGTATTGATTTGGTGATTGACATTAGTGAAGGTGAGTTTGTAGCCGTCCATGTGAGAGAGAGAGAGAAAGGAGGTATTGAGAAAGAGGGAGAGAGAGAGAAGAATGTAGAGAGATTACGAGAATAATAAAAATTGAAAGAAGAAGAAGAGAGGGATAGAGAGATTAAACATTATAGTGAGAGCCTT